TATCCTGTACATAACATAAACCCTTCGTGTAACTCCCCTATCCTGTACGCGACATAAACCATTAGTGTAACTCCCCTATCCTGTACATAACATAAACCCTTCGTGTAACTCCCCTATCCTGTACGCGACATAAACCATTAGTGTAACTCCCCTATCCTGTACATAACATAAACCCTTCGTGTAACTCCCCTATCCTGTACACAACGTAAACCCTAAGTGTAACTCCCCTATCGTGTACATGACATAAACCTTTAGTGTAACTCCCCTATCCTGTACATGACATAAACCTTTAGTGTAACTCCCCTATCCTGTACATGACATAAACCTTTAGTGTAACTCCCCTATCCTGTACATGACATAAACCTTTAGTGTAACTCCCCACCAGAGGTTAAGTATTAAGCCCAGTCGGCTTTCCCTTTTCTGCTCTCCCTTCTCCTGCTTCTCGGAATTCTGTTAACCCCCCAGGGGAGTGATCATGGACCTACATATGGGAAGCTCTCTAATGTTCAGCACACTGGATGCCATTAGCGCACTGAGCTGTGTAAGTCCCGAGAGAAAGATTCACTCACAGGTACTGCTGACTCTGCCGCATAGGGGAGACCAGCTCCACACACACAGACTGACACACACACAGACTGACACAGACGCAGGCCGACGCAGACACACTCACGCAGACCGACACAGACACACACATACTGAAACAGATACACTCAGACAGACACGCTCACAGACTGACACACACACACAGACATACACACACAGACAGCAGTTAAGGTGAGCATGGAAAGCTCACACATCCAAGCAAACACAGAGGGTGTCACTCACTCAGCCCAATTGCTTCTATGGGGATCCGCGTTACACACAGCCATAGAGTTGCAGCATTGGCTGGACTCCTTGAACCTTAGATCAGCTCTCCTCTGACTTGGCCCGATCCCTTCGAACCTCAGATCAGCTCTCTACAGCCCAGCCTAGCCCTCTTGAACCTCATATCATCGCCCCAGGCTCAGTGCCCCTAGGCCCCCTCAAACCAGCCGGGGTCGGCGCCTTCGAACCACATATCAGCTACCCCTAGCCTGATCCTCTCGAACCTCGTGGCAGCCCCCTCCCAACCCGGCCAGCCCCCTTGAACCTCAGATCCGCTCCTTCACGACCCGGCCCCGGCTCCCACGAACCTCAGATCGGCTCCCCCCCGACCCGGTCCGGAACCTTCGATCAATTACCACGGGCCTGGCCCCCTTGAACCTCAGATAAGTACCCCCCCAACTCGGCACATCCCACCCGGCTCGAATCTCAGATCAGCTCCCCCAAGTCTAGCCCCCCCCCCCCCTGCCCCCCCCCCCCCCCCCCCCCCCCCACCCACCCCAACCTCAGATCAGCTCCCCTAACCCAGCCCCTAGGATCCTGTTCAGTCAGCATGTCTCGGTTTAGAGGGACTGCACCCATGTTCTGTTTCAGCTGCTCTCTATAGGCTGCCGATATTGATGGATAATAACAAGCACGTCTTTCCCCAACTGAAGCACTAGATGGCAGCAAGTCAGCCGCATTCTCTAGTCAATCTGCATGCATGCACACACACAAAGGCACACACCGTTTAGATCAGATGTCTTTTAAACCCCCATGTGGAAAAAAGGGTATAAAAAAATCCAATTTACATTCCATTCTGCGGACTAAGATGTAGATTAATTTGCAATGCGATGCACTTAGTGTCTCCAGCTCACAGAGCGGGCAACACGGAACGCTGGCGTCCCGCCCACGCGCCCCACTGACGGGCTGCAGAGCCGCAGAGCCCATGCCAGCAGTCGCAATTAAAAAGTTACAGTAATTAATGCGGGGGGGGGGTGCATGAGAATGCAGAGGATTCATTTAAAATGCAGAGGGAAAAAGGGGAAAATGGAGTGAAGCCACCTGCTAATGTTAGGGAGACAGACCCAGCGGAGTAATACACACCCAGTGTGTAACTTTAAGAGTGCGGATTCTCGACTTCCAATTGCTGATGGGTCATCGCATGTAACTGGGATGGTTCCATGTAACATCTGAACATGACCGGCAGCACAGGGAGGGGCGGCACACTGGCCAGACCAGCCAGAAAGGGGGGGGGTAGGCACACAGACAGAGACACGGCAACGGCTGCAGGAAGGGGCGGAGCCTCCCTTCACCGCCAGCTCTCCGGTACCTGCCAGCCCTGCGCCGCAGATGCCAATTAAAAGGGGCGAGATTTATCACAGCGTGAAGTCGCCGGCTGCAATGAGCACGGCGTGTTGGACTCGCGCTGCATCTCCGT